CAGTTTTAGACCAAATGTTTAAGCAATCCTAAAATCTTCGTGTAAATGGCTGAACAAACGGACGATCGGCTTTACAACTCGCTGTCGTTATTCATGTTATCATGAATTACGAAATTAAGTTGCCCGACTGCTACGATCCTAAAATACAGAAACAGAAGCGTCGCTGATGTTTCCATTGCTCTCTTTGTTGAATCAACCCACAAAATATTCAGAGAAGCTCTTAGTTTTCTATGGTGTTCTTTCATTCTTCTGATAATCGTCCTTTGTAGATTTCCTTATGCCCCCCCTGCAATTTCCACTACTCAGTCTTCAACACTGCATTTCTATTAAGGCTTATAATGACACTCTTTTGAGAATGACGTTCTACAGAAGTATCTGGTGCTGATTTGTGACAAATTAAATAGAATGATCAACAATCCATGATATTGCTGTTAATCCCTTTATAGCCGGTAATACATGAATTGGTCTTTCAGGTATACAGTCGATCTGGCAGATGGCGTTTCGCTTCTCTGCTAACTTGAGATAGGGTGACATAGGGTGTTACGCTATCGCCTTCTGCAATTAACAATCGGCTTTCTGGACCAGGTCTGTAGCGGGTTTTGCAATATGCAATTCAATCTATGCCTCAGTTCACGAAGCTTAACTGAATTACAAAGGGCTGGGGAACTGTAAAATCTCCTGAAACTGACACCACTGCCAACTGCAAGAAACACTGCCAGTTAAAACGAACGGATGTTTCGGCCATTTAAAACTCATAATTTAGCTTCATTCGGTTTATTTTTTGTGTCAGGTTACAAAGCAGAACCCCGCATCTCTGAAACAAGAAATCAGTCAGTTTCATGACCGTATCCTTTGGGTCGTGGAGCCTGACACATCAGACAGTATCGCCAACGTTTCTGATCCTGTGACAGCGTGACAGCAGAAAATAACCCAAGTTTGGAACAGAATGAGTTTAGACACTTGCACAGGGCAATTCTGGCTGTCCCTCGGGTCTTCTGCAGATCAGTTAAGCAAAGAGTAGTTGTTTCGTCTTTCATTTTTAAAGGTAATCGCAAGACAGGCCTAAATTAACGCAGCTGCTACTTTTCAACCCACAAAAGCGGCGACTGTATAATAAGGATCATTCGACTATCTGAACTCCGGATTACGTAGAGACTCGCGGGTTCTGCGATTCGTCTCCAACACCCATTTCAAACGGCTGCAAAACGGAATCGAAGCTAATCAATCACTGCCAAAGATCCGTAACCACAGATGAGGATAGGGATAAAAAATATACTGGAACATACACCGCTTAGTCTTCAGACTCAACCATGCGTTACTCACACATCGGATCAGGCTCCTTCATACAGAACGTTGCTGGCCAATCAAATTCACCAGTCCACCTCTTCTTTTTGTTTTCCATTACCAGTCAGCACCACCCCGAGGTACATGAACTTCTCAAACTGTTCCACTGTTTCTCCCTTATTAGCAATGCGCAGCGGGAATGTCAACGAGAAAACACAAGAATATTCGTTTTAGATACGTTCACAGGCATACCGGCCACGTTGTACTCGGCTGCGAACCTTTTCAGAGAGCTCTGGAGATCAGTCTCAGAAGGTGATAACAAAACAAGGACATCTGCAAACAGATACCTTCACATTTTCGCATCATTTACGCTGATACATTCGTCTTCCGGGCTGCACTCGACCATCCTATCCATACAAAACTAAAAACAAGATAGGAAACAGAACTAAACCTTGACGCAGACCAGTGCCAATGATGAAATGTCTAAACTTTTCGATGACCAGACGACTGCTACCAATGTATAATGACTGGATGGCTCGCAGCAATTGGCCATCTATCCCATGTTTACAATCACGCTCATAGCATGGTGCGCGTGATCCGTGATAGACTTTTTCCAGGTCACCAAAGCACGTAAACCGGATGAGCGAATTTCCACGATTTCTCAAAAATCTGGCATACGGCGACCTGGTAAGAAGTGCTTTGGCCTGATTTGGAACCACACTG